CATATACCAATAATTGAAAAAAAGAGAGCTAAATCATGAGTGAACTCCCATTCACAATTGCTACAAAAAGAATAAAATACCTAGGAATACAACTTACAAGGGATATAAAGGACCTCTTCAAGAAGAACTACAAACCACTGCTCAAGGAAATAAGGGAGGACACAAACAGATGGAAAAACATTCCAAGCTCAGGGATAGGAAAAATCAATATTGTGAAAATGGCCATACTGCCCAAATTAATTTATAGATTCATTGCTATCCCCATCAAGCTACCATTGAGTTTCTTTACAGAATTAGAAAAAAACTATATGGAACTAAAAAAGAGCCCATATAGCCAAGACAATCCTAAGCTAAAAGAATAAGCTAGAAGCATCACACAACCTGACTTCAAACTATACTACAAGACTACAGTAACTAAAACAGTATGGTACTGGTACCAAAACATACATAGACCAATGGAAAAGAACAGATGCCTCAGAAATAATGCCACACATCTACAACCATCTGATCTTTGACAAACCTGATGAAAACAAGCAATTGGGGAAGAATTCACTGGGAAATTGGCTAACCATATGCAGAAAACAGAAACTGGACCTCTTCCTTACATCTTATAAAAAAAATTAACTCCAGATGGATTAAAGACTTAAACATAAGACCTAACACCATAAGAACCACTAGAAGAAAACCTAGGCAATACCATTCAAGAGATAGGCATTGGCAAAGACTTCATAATTAAAACACCAAAAGCAATGGCAACAAAAGCCAAAATTGACAAATGGAATCTGATGAAAGTAAAGAGCTTCTGCCAATGAAAGAAACAATCATTGGAATTAACCAGCAGCCTACAGAATGAGAGAACATTTTTGCAATCTATCCATCTGACAAAGGCTAATATCAGGAATCTACAAAGAACTTAAACAAATTTACCAAAAAAAAAAAAGAAAAAGTCAAAAAGTGAGTGAAGGATATGAACAGACACTTCTCAAAAGAAGACATTTATGTGGCCAAAAAACATATGAAAGAAAGCTCATCATCACTGGTTATTAGATAAATGCAAATCAAAACCACAATGAGATACCATCTTACACTAGTTAGAATGGTGATCATTAAAAAGTCAGGAAGCAACAGATGCTGGAAAGGATATGGAGAAATAGGAATGCTTTTACACTGTTGGTGGGAGTATAAATTAGTTCAACCATTGTGGAAGACAGTGTGGTGATTCCTCAAGGATCTAGAACTAGAAATATCATTTGACCCAGCAATCCCATTACTGGGTGTATAACTAAAGGATTATAAATTATTCTACTGTAAAGACACATGCACATGTATATTTATTGCAGCACTATTTACAAAAGCAAAGACTTGGAACCAACCCAAATGCTCATCAATGATAGACTGGATAAAGAAAATGTGGCAGATATGCACCATGGAATACTATGCAGCCATATGCAGTCGTAAGAAAGGATGAGTTCATGTCCTTTGCAGGGATATGGATGAAGCTGGAAACAATCATTCTTCTGCAAATACAGGGACACAAAAGCAAACACCACATGTTCTCACTCATAAGTAGGAGTTGAACAATAAAAACACATGGACACAGGGAGAGGAACATCACACACCAGGCACTCTCAGGGGTTAGAATTAAGGGGAGGTGAGGTGGGTGGATCATTAGGTCAAGAGATGGAGACCATCCTGGTCAACATGGTGAAAGCCCGTCTCTACTAAAAATACAAAAATTATCTTGGAATTGTGGTGCAGCCTATATTCCCAACTACTCGGGAGGCTGAGGTAGCAGAATTGCTTGAACCCAGGAGGCGGAGATTGCGGTGAGCCGAGATCACGCCATTGCACTCCAGCCTGGGTAATAAGAGCGAAACTCCGTCTCAGAGAAAAAAAAAAAAAAAAAAAAAAAAAAAAAAAAAAAAAAAAAAGAAGTAACGGGAGGGATAACATTAGGAGAAATACCTAACCTAACGTAGATGATGGGTTGATGGGTACAGCAAACCACCATGGCACTTAAATACCTATGTAACAAACCTTCGCGTTTTGCACATGTATCCCAGAACTTAAGTAGAATAATAATAATAAAAAAAGCAAGAGCTACTAACTCTGACTAGACCATAAATACAGTAAAACCTGGAAAAATAATCTTGGTCTTATCCTTGGCTTTCTGTGGGGCAGGGAGAGTAGCTGTTGATCATTAAAAACTAGCATAATCTTTAAAAGTGATTAAAACTGCTGCTTGTTTTATATTTTCAAAAATGTATTAGTCCTAAAAATTTCTAGAAAATAAAATGCTAGAAAAAATAATCTAGAAATTTTATAAAACAACATAGATTGTGGTAGCCTTAAAATTATGGCCAAAAATAAAGCAATAGTTGTTAACTTCTATGCCATAAACTCATTGCAAACTGAGAGATTTATTTATACTATAAACTCAGCCTTGCACATATTTTTCTCAAATACAAGCTGAAAATAAAAGCATCCATCGAAATGTGTTTTGCCACACTTCACAATTCTTGCAACTGAAGAAGAGTTTTAAACCCATTGGCAAGTTTATGGTGAACAACAATGTAGAACATAAATTGAGTGAGTAATTTAAGTTTTCTTAAGAAGACATTTGTCTGAATTCAAGCAGACATACCTGAATAAATTCTACTTATTGCATGTACAAGCAAGCTTTCCTTTCTTGAATAACCCAGAGGAGTTTTTAGAGCATTTAGTGAGGCTGTTAAACTCATCAGTCAAATTAAAGGCAGGCTTATGCATCTTCGACTTTTTTCTCAAAGCAAAGTGACTGTGGTTAGTGTTTTCTCAGAAAGACCTCTTTCATCTATGCAAATTGTCTGAGGAACTTCAAATTTTCCTCCAGGAAAATTTGCGATAATCATGTGGTATCAGTATCTTGCTTTGCAATTTATGTCACTTTGAGACTTATTTGCGTATTTGAACAACCAAACATGTATGTCTCAAAAGACAAGATTATCAGCAGAATATCCACCTTGATAAGATGAGTTGGATTCTTGTATTTAATTTTTCCTGGACAACCTAGTTACGACATTACCTAAAGCAGGCATCCCCAAACTTTTTACACAGGGGGCCAGTTCACTGTCCCTCAGACTGTTGGAGGGCCGCCACATGCTGTGCTCCTCTCACTGACCACCAATGAAAGAGGTGCCCCTTCCTGAAGTGCGGTGGGGGGGCCGGATAAACGGCCTCAGGGGGCCGCATGCGGCCCGCGGGCCTTAGTTTGGGGATGCCTGACCTAAAGAATGCACTAGGCTGAGAGTGGTGCCTCATGTCTATAACCACAGCACTTTGGAAGGTTTAGGCAGGCAAACCACTTCAGGCCAGGAGTTCAAGACCAGCCAGGCCATCATGGCAAAACCCTGTCTTTACTAAAACTACAAAAATTTGCCAGGAATTCAGGCACATTACTGTAAATTTAGCTGCTTGGGAAGCTGAAAAACCAGAATTGCTTGAACCCAGGATATGGAAGTTGGAGTGAGCAGAGATGACACCACTGCACTCCAGCCTGGGTAACAGAGCCAGACCCTGTCTCAAAAAAAAAAAAAAAAAAAAAAGAAAAGAAAGAAAGAAAAAAGAAAAGAATGCACTAAAAACATTTCACACATTCAAGAAGCATGAAGAAACCCTTGATGAACAAACTTTCTAAGCATTTTCTCTAACAAGGTTATATCCACGGGTGGCTAAGTGAAAAGTTTTCTTACCTTTTTCTTTTAAACAAAATAATCAAATTTAGAATAGATGGGAGATTTTCTTCAGTTAGATGAACTTAAAATTAATTAACTTTAATATTATATGACTTTTGTTTATTTTATACTTTATAGCTCCTGTTTGATAACCTTATCATGTTTTTTATCTTATATATTTTTATAGTTCCTATTTATAATAATGTTAGTGATTTTTCAGTTACACAACAATAAAGATTTTTTTCAAAAAGAAATGTGTTCCAAGTAATTTCATTTACTTAAGTGAAGTGATGATATGGCAAAAATCAGGAAGATAGAAATGTAAATTAACTAGAGTTTCAAAAACATTGCTAGATATTCCTGGTGTAGCAGTTGGAGAAAAAGAGGAAGAACTTGGAGTTCAGCAGATCCCACCACAGCCACAAACTAGGAGTGTTTACCTTGGCACACTGCTTAGATTCTATGAACCTCAGTTTCTCCACTTGTAAAATGGATATAATGATAGTAATTTCCAAGACGGTTGTTGTGAGAATTAGAATATGTTAAATTACCTAGTCTAAGAAATGCTAGTTATTTTTCAGGCAGTTAAGAAAACTTTAAAAATTATATTCAAAAATATATATTTGCATATGTATGTTAACTTTTTCAAAGAAAAATTAGCAAAATAAAAGATTAGCTGCAAAACTTCCTTGAGATTTTAGAAAGACTTTAGAATGGGATAGATGAGTCACATGTCATCAAATTCAAAATGTTAGGATAGTTGAAAGTGAATATTAGTATACCAGTTTCCTCCCACAGACCTTGAAGTGTGAGTTAATACTTAGATTAGTTATGATAATAAATGGCAGGTAAATTTACATCTTGGATTGAACCAAGAAATGGAGGCCAAGAGCTCTGAAATTCAGTCTTAGCTCTGAACTGAACCTTGGCTCTCAATTTCAAAGGGATCTCAATGTGGCTCTTTATTTCTGTGTTTGAAGTATGAAGTAACTCACAGGCTCATCATACAGTTTCTCCTCTTCTTTTTTAGCATTAACCAGGCTCCCTGTCCTCTGATCAGGATATTGTATAAATGAAGAACATTTGGCAATCAATTTAGAATATAAGTAGAGGTGATATGGCCTTTCATACTGCAGCCCAGGCATTGCTTCCATTATGAAATTCAAAGATATTTATTCTATCTAGATATTTACCATAAAATAGTTACATTTTATAAACCATGAACCTGTGAAATGGGCTGCGGTTGTGGTTACATTATTCTTGTCATTTCTCTTTTTTTTCTCTTTTCATTGTCTGAAATTTCTATAACCTTGCTCTACATGGAGCAGGGCAAGGCCTCAAACCATTTCAAAACTGTTCCGGCAAGCACTATATGAATGCACAGGGTCACTGCAGACCCAAGCATGCTGGAGGCTTGCTATATTCTTGTCATTTCTTAGGTGACACTTTTATAATCCTAAATATTATTGAAATTTTTGTCTTTATAACATGGGCCTGATATTACTGATAATAGGTACCACGCCAGGTTAGCTATTTAATTCATTCACCATTACTTTGTGCTGAAATCTTGGATATTAGGTGAGTGTAACTCTGCTCCTGTATTGAAGCTGCTTTTGGTATGTGCAATGAGGTAGCTAATCAGACCAATGACTACAGAAGATGCTGTCCATGTGAACAGCTTTTGTTCTGCTCTGTATCTGGACACCAGACTGGCTGTCTGTCCTGGCATCTGTGAAACATCAGGGTTAGTTGCCAGATCCTCTTATGACCAGCCCTGCCTCACTAGAAGCAAAATAGGGAACATCTCCCACCTCAGGACATGCTTATTCCACCCCTTGTGGCCTTTCTTGTTAGAAATTCTGTCTTGATTACTATAGTTTTATTATAGGTCTTGCAGTCTAGTAATGTTAGTCATCTGACTTTGTTCTTCTTCAGTATTGTGTCAGCTATTCTGGGTCTTTTGTCTCTCCATATAAACTTTAGAATCAGCTTGTTCATATCTCCAAAATAATTTGCTGGAATTTTGATTGCAATTTAATTGAATCTACAGATCAAGTTGGGAAAAACTAACGTCTCACCATACTGAGTCTTCATGAACATGGAATATCTATTTTTTTAGTTCTTTGATTTCTTTCATCAGAGTTTTGTAGTTTCCTTCAAATAGATCATTACAAATATTTTGTTAGATTTATGTCTAAGTATTTAATTTTTCTTGGTGCCAATGAAAAGGGTATTTTGTTTTTAATTTTAAATTTCATCTGTTTGTTGATAGTAGAGAAAAACACTTGACTTTTGTATAATAATCTTGTATCCCGCACCCTTGTTATAATAGCTTATTTATTTCAGAAGATTTTTTTAAAATTGTACTTTAGGTTCTGCGGTATATGTGTAGATCATGCAGGATTGTTGCATAGGTACTTACATGGCAAGGTGGTTTGCTTCCTCCATCCCCCTGTCACCTATATCTGGTATTTCTCCCCAAGTTATCCCTCTCCAACCTCCCCATCGCCTGCTGTCCCTCCCCTACCCACGCAACAGACCCAGTTGTGTGCTGCTCCCCTCCCTGTGTCCATGTGTTCTCATTGTTCAACACCTGCCTATGAGTGACAACATGCAGTGTTTGATTTTTCTGTTCTTGTGTCAGTTTGCTCAGAATGATGGCTTCCAGATTCAACCATGTCCCTGCAAAGGGCATGAACTCATCGTTTTTTATGGCTGCATAGTATTCCATGGTATATATGTGCCACATTTTTGTCCAGCCTATCATCGATGGACATTTGGGTTGGTTCCAGGTCTTTGATATTGTAAACAGTGCCACAATGAATATATGTGTGCATGTGTCTGTATAATAGAATGACTTATAATCCTTTGGGTGTAGACCCAGTAATGGGATTGCTGGGTCAAATGGAACTTCTATTTCTAGATCCTTGAGGAATTGTCACACTGTCTTACACAATGGCTGAACTAATTTACACTCCCACCACCATGTAAAAGTGTTCTATTTCTCCACATCCTCTCCAGTATCTGTTGTCTCCAGATTTTTTAATGATTGCCATTCTAACTGGTGTGAGATGGTATCTCAATGTGGTTTTGATTTGCATTTCTCTAATGACCAGTGATGATGAGCATTTTTTCATATGTTTATTGGCTGCACAAATGTCTCCATTTGAAAGTGTCTGTTCATATCCTTTGCCCACTTTTGAATGGGTTTGTTTGTTTTTTTTCCTTGTAAGTATGTTTTAGTTCTTTGTAGATTCTAGAAATTAGCCCTTTGTCAGATGGGTAGATTGCAAACATTTTTTCCAATTCTGTTCATTGCTAGTTCACTCTAATGAATGTTTCTTTTGCTGTGCAGAAGCTCTGGAGTTTAATTAAATCCTATTTGTTTATTTTGGCTTTTGTTGCCAATGCTTTTGGTGTTTTAGTCATGAAGTCCTTCCCTATGCCTATGTCCTGAATGGTTTTGCCTAGGTTTTCTTCAAGGGTTTTTATGGTGTTAGGTCTTATGGTCAAGTCTTTAATCCATCTGGAGTTAATTTTAGTGTAAGGTATCAGGAAGGGGTCCAGTTTCTGCTTTTTGCACATGGCTAGCTAGTTTTCCCAACACCATTTATTAAACAGGGAATCCTTTGCCCATTGCTTGTTTTTGTCAGGTTTGTCAAAGATGAGATGGTTGTAGATGTGTGGTGTTGCCTCCAAGGCCTCTGTTCTGTTCCATTGGTCTATATCTCTGGTTTGGTACCAGTTCCATCCTGTTTTAGTTACTATAGCCTTGTAGTATAGTTTGAAGTACGGCAGCATGATGCCTCTAACTTTGTTCTTTTTGCTTAGGCTTGTCTTGGCTATGTGGGCTCTCTTTTGGTTCCACATGAAGTTTAAGTTTTTTTTTTTTTCAGTTCTGTGAAGAAGGTCATTGGTAGCTTCATGGTGACAGCGGTGAATCTATAAATTACTTTGGGCAGTATGGCCATTTTCACGATATTGATTCTTTCTAACCATGAGCATGGAATGTTTCTCCATCTGTTTGTGTCCTCTCTTATTTCCTTGAGCAGTGGTTTTTAGTTCTCCCTGAAGAAGTCCTTTATATTATTTTTTAGTTGTATTCCTAGGTATTTTATTCTCTTTGTAGCAATTTTGAATGGGAGTTCACTTTTAATTAGGCTCTGTTATTCTGTTATTGGTGTATAAAAATGCTTGTGATTTTTGCACATTGATTTAGTATCCCGAGACTTTGCTGAAGTTGCTTATCAGTTTCAGGAGATTTTGGGCTGAGATTATGGGGGTCTTCTAAATACACAATCATGTCATCTGCATATAGAGACAATTTGACTTCTTCCTTTCCTAATTGAATACTCTTTATTTCTTTTTCTTGCATGATTGCTCTGGTTAGAACTTCCAATACTATATTGAATAGGAGTGATGACAGAGGGCATCCTTGTCTAATGCCATATTTCAAAGGTAATGCTTCCAGTTTTTGCCCATTCAGTATGATATTGGTTGAGGACTTGTTGTAAATAGCTTTTATTATTTTGAGATACATTCCATTAATACATAGTTTATTGAGAGTTTTTACCATAAAGGGCTGTTGAATTTTGTTGAAGGCCTTCTCTGCATCTATTGAGATAATCATGTGGTTTTTGTGTTTGGCTCTGTTTATGTGGTGGATTACGTTTATAGACTTGCCTATGCTAAATCAGCCTTGCATCCCAGGGATGAAGCCTACTTGATCTTGATGGATAAACTTTTTGATGTGCTGTTGCAATCAGTTTGCCAGTATTTTATTGAAGACTTTTGCATCTATGTTCATCAATACCCTGCTTGCCTGGGAATCACCCACAGGGGCTGCAGAACAGTAAGGGTTGCTGCCAGGTTCTTCTTCTTTTATCTTTGTCCCAGATGGTACCCACTAGATGTCAGCCAGAGCTCTCCTTATGAGGTGCCTCTTTGGATCTACCGGGGTCAGAGAGCCACTTAAGGAGATAGTCTGTCCCTTGTCAGAGCTCAAGTGCTGCACTAGGAACTCCATTGTTCTGTTCAAAGCTGCTGGGCAGGTTTAAGTCTGCTGCAGCAGAACTCATAACTGCCTCTTTTCCCAGGTGCTCTGTCCTGGGAAGGTGGGGCTTTATTTATAAGTTCCTGACATGCTGCTGCCTTTTTTCAGAGATGTCCTGCCCAGAAAGGAGGTAGTGTAGTCACAGTCTGCCAGTAGAGACATCACTGAGCTACTGCAGGCTCTGCCCAGTTGCTGTGTAAACTTCCTTGTGGTTTTGTTTACAGAGGTACAGTTAGAACTGCCTCAGTAGTTGTGGACTGCCTCTGTAATGGCAGATGGCCTTCCACCCACAGAGCTGGACTGTCCCAGGTCTGGCTGTGCTTGCTGTGAAACTCTGAATCCAGAGCATTTCAGATTGCTGGTCTGGGACCCTCCGAGCCAGATCACCTCACTCCCTGCTTTCAGCCCCCACTTTTTCAGTTGAATGGGCAGCTCTGTCTCCCAGGTGTTCCAAGCACCAGTTGAAATGGCCACCCAGATTTGTGTGAGTTTTTGTATGGAAACCAGTGGTGCAGGCTGAAACAGCTGTGCTGGGAGCTTGTGTTGCTTTATGGTTCAGGAATCTCCTGGTCTGTGGGTGCTAAAAACTGCAGGAGAAGCACAGTATCTGATCTGGAGTGCTGGAGTGGATGGAAAAGTCCCTGATTGCCTCTGTTGGGTTGGGAGGGGGTCCTCCAGGGAATGCACTTCCCAGGTGAGGCAGCTCCCTATCCTGCCTCTGCTTGCCCTTCTTGGGCTAAAATCACTGTGGAAACAGTCCTATTGAGATGTACCTGGTACCTACTTTGTTTGGAAATGCTATGATCACTTGCCCTCTATGTTGCTCTTGCTGGGAACTGCACTCCAGAGCTGTTCCTATTCAGCCATCTTAGATCTCCAAGAATATTTTTTCCTTTTCCTGTTTCTTTACTTTTGGCTATTTTGGGATTTTCTGTGATGGTAATGCCACTTGTGAACAAAGACAGCTTTAGTTCTTTGTTCCAAATCTGTATACCTTTTAGCTCCTTTTATTGTGTGATTACATTAAGCAGAATACAAACATTTATATTTTGCTCATATTACATGTTAGCAATTATCATCAGTTGCCATGGATCTGGTCTATGTCTTTGCTTCATTCTGGGGCCCAGATGGAAAGAGCCAAACCTGTCGGGAGTAAAAAGTGAGGAAGAGCTCTAGTGGAATCAAGGTTTCCCTCACAGCAAGATTCTATTCAGAATAAGCACATTACCACTTCTGCTCACATGCCATTGGCCTAAGCAACTATCACATGTCCTGAGGAGGCACTATGAATCACAGATCAATGAACCTCTTACATAGAAAATGGCAAATGTTTGGAGAGGAGATTAAGGAACTAACATATCTATAGT